CCCTCCCCTCCCCTCTTCCCTTCTCTAATTCTCCTCCTTTCTTCTCCCCTCCCCTCCCCTCCTTTCCCCTCCTCTCCTTTCTGTAGGGCACTAAACAGGACCTTTGCATTGAGCTGCATCTACCCACCCCCTAATTTCTTTCTTCTTTCTTTCTTTCTTCTTTCTTTCTTTCTTTCTTTCTTTCTTTCTTTCTTTCTTTCTTTCTCTTTCTTTCTTTTTTTTTTTCTATTTTGAGACAAGGGTCAAATAGCTAAATTGCTGAGGCTGGGCTGCATCTTCTAATTCTCCTGTCTCAGCTTTCCAGAGTGCTGGGATTACAGGTGTGCACCACAACGCCAGGCTAGGCTCCAAAGAAGATTTTAAAGATTGGAGATGTGAAAAGAGAGGTGGTGAACAAACATTTGCTCACAACCAGGAAGAACAAGATCCAGAGGGAATTTTGGGTAGGGAGAAACACACCTTGATCGGAGAGTACCACTTGCGTGGGGAAGAGGGCCTTCGCATGTTGTTGTTGAGATTCCGAGGCTCAGGGAATTCATACTCCTGTTCAGGCATCTTTACCCTTGCATTTTTGGCCTTTTCCAGTTTGGCACCTTCTTCTGTAGAGCCCTTTTCTCCCCAACGAACCTAAAACAAATACAATATAATAAAATAACATGACAAAGTAAAATAACCTGCTAGAGAACATGTGTGAGAAGTACATGCCTGATATGCAAAAAACATACTACCTAACCCACAATTCCTTTGGGTTTTGAGGGCCAAAATGTGGAAAAAAAGGAAAAGGTGTGAGAGAGGAAAGGGTGAGGGTGGATGGTGGAGAGAGAGAGAGAGAGAGAGAGAGAGAGAGAGAGAGAGAGAGAACAAGAGAGCCATGTACACAGATACTTTGGGGAGTGTTATGGTTTGTGTCTAGTTGTCTGCACCCAAATGCCTCATGTAGTCATGGGCAGGCTTCTAAAGTTTGTGATTAATTCCTGATCCAGTGTTGGGATTATGGGTATGAGGGCTATCCCTGCCCTGGGGCAGATAATCTGCATACAAATGGAAGGAGGGGCTAGAGGCTACCTAGCCAACACAGCTGCTGCTCCTCCCTTTGCTCTTTGCTGTTTCCTACCATCATGAGCTGCTGCCTTCTGCCACGTGCCACTCTGCCTTGGAGCCAGCTGAGTATGGACTGAAACTCCACACACTGTGAGCTAAATAAACCTTTTCTTCCTTAATTCTGGGTGTTGGGTATTTTGTTCCATCAATCAGAGAAAAGTAACTGAGACAGGGAAGAAAAGTCCAGGCAGTGGGAAGCATGGGCAAAAGTACTAAAGGGTCAGACAATAATTATGGATTTTATCTCTGTACGAATAGAAAACACTGAGGGATTTGAGTGACCTGCCCTGACTGATGATAGGTAAGAAATGGGGCGCACAGCTGAAGGCCGCACCTCCCACCTTTCTATCTTTCTGCCCCACACTCTGCATCTCCACCAGACTTCAAGTGGGTTGTCATCAACTGCTTTGGGAGCAGCCTTCATGAAGACAAGTGTGCACTGAGCTCCCTCTTACCTCCATCCTTTTGATGCCCCCGACGCCTCGCCCACCATAGTAGGAAGCGTCGACTGTGGGCCACTTCTTCTTAGGCAGCCCGTCGTCATCTTCTTCCTGCACAGAGATGGCAACATATGGAGGACCAACCGTCCTGCCCATGCCCATGCAAGGGACACACGCAACGCTGGTACAGCCGATCACCTAAGCTAGATCCCAGTGTTGCTCCTCCCTGGGGCCCTGGCCAACTCATGGACTCTATCCAAGAACATTTTCTTTATCTCTAAAAGCAGTACTGGCAAGTAAGGCTGTGGCCCAATGCTGGAAGCTGTCTTTGACTTTTCTGCTCTTAGGTAAGGTGCTTGGGTTGGATGTGTCCGGTGGCACCTCAAGAGGCACACTTGGGGTGGGGTCATGTGTAGGATCAAGGGGGTGTCCTGTGCAGGAAGAAGGGGACAAAGACTGGGAGGACAGCAGAAGGGAGATTAGGGCCAGAGAGGGCAAAGCAACACAATAAAATAATTAGCCCATTAAGACTGTTGGAGTCCAGTGCTGTGCATAGGATAGGTAGGCTTCTTAAAAAATAAAATAAATTAATATAGCTTAAAAGAGTGTGATCACTGCAGATTTATAGCATTCTAGTAGTTAACATTTGGTGCTCTTCTCTGTCTTTAAACAGATCTGTTCTTCGCTGTGGCACTACAACCTCTGAAAGCAGAATGGATTTTGTATTCTGAGTGGACAGCAAGTGCTCAACAAACAGGTACTGAATAATCATGATAATCACTCCACTGAATTCCTGCAGTCCTTACTGTGGGTGTCCAGCCACTGCTTGGAGTATTCACATGTACTAACCATTTAACCTTACAGCTGGCCAGTGAGGCAAGTAGATAAATTCTTATCTCCATTTCAGAGGCTAAAAGTAGTGAGGCTGTGACTTTGGTCACCCAAGTTTTGGGCAGGAAAGCTGGCTTTGAGCTCAGGTAGCTTCACGGGTAGGTTTTGGGTTTTGTCCCTTTGTGTTCTGCTTTCCTAAGTCATCTAATGGCATCGGGTAAATGCTACTTTTCTACTTAATCGAGGGACAGTCAGCTATAATTTTTTTCCCCGGTGTGGTGGTTTTCTTTTTACTCTGTTGGAGATTTGCTTTGAGTGCAGCAATTTTTCAAAAAGATGAGATCCCAGCTGTTGATTCTTTGAAGTATTTCCTGTGCATGTGCAGTTTGGTCTTTGTTCCTGAACTCTTTACCTACCCCCTCTGTCTTTAAGATTTCTGCCTACATTTTCCTCCAGAAGATTTAGTGTTTCTGTTTTAGTATTTAAATCTTTGATCCATTTTGACTTCTCTTCTCACTCCTGCTACCTGATAGTTGTGATGATTTATGATTACATGATATGACAAGATAAAACCAAAACCTTAAAATAATATTATCTCAGAGTATCTTTAAGATTTAAATCCAGGTTTCTTTCGCTTCATGAGGTCAAAGTAAAATCTAATACATCTTACAAATATGGTTCCCCTTTATCACAAGAAGAGGATGTGGTAAACGTCTGGGCATGTAGATAGATGAAATGCGGTTCCACCAAGCTTGAATATCTCTGGCTCAGGGAAGTTTTCCAAAAGAGATAATGGAAGTTTTATTTACTAAAACTGAACACAGTGGCAGCAGGAATGTAAAAACAGTGAAAAGAAAGTTGTTTTCTTCAGTAAGAGACTAAAATGGTGTCAGGAGTCTTTCTTCTTCTCCTTCTCCTTCTTCCTCCTCCTCCTCCTCTACCTCCTCCTCCTCCTCCTTTTTTTTTTATCTATTTAGTACAGAGTCTACAGGGTCTCACTACATAAATTAGATTTGTAGCAATTCTGTTTTCAGCCTCTCAAGTGCTGGGATTAAAGGCACCTGCTACCACTCCCAATCTCAGTCACCCTCTCAGTGTACCCTGGCGGTGGGGCCAGCACCGCATGCCTGAGGATCAAACCCCGTTCACTGTACCTGCCTAAGCATGTGCTTTAATCCTCTGAGCTGTCTGGCTGGCCCCCTTCTTCTTCCTTTTTAAATTACAGGAGGGTAAACCCTATAGATCATCTAATTGGGTCTTTTTGTTGCATAAAAAATGAATGTCAGACCGAGAGCAATGAAATGATCGATAAAGGTGAACTTCTGGTGTGGTTTCCTGATTCCTTATCCAGCCACTGACAGAGCTTTCACACTTTTAAGTTCTTACTTTTGAAGAACAACTTACAATTTACAATTCAATACTTTTAAACCTCCTGAGTGCTTAGTTATAAGACATAAAATGACCAAATCGGTTTCCCGCTTTCCAGGCTTCCTTGTCCCCACCCCCAATCTCTCTTCTCTGCATTAGGCGAGGCCCTGGAAGGAGTGCAAGGCTGTGGCCACACAACAGGAAATGCCTAGACTTGAGAGGGCTGTTCCACATGCTCCTGATCCATCGAGCTGTCCTTTATAATCCCTGACCTGAGCTTGCCTGCCAACTTCAAACAACAGCAAAAGTCAACACAGGGACTCAGGCTTTGACCAACAGGAGAGTCAGAGTTTCCTCTGCAGTAAGCATGGCTCTGTTTACACGTTGTGCAGACCGGAGGGTTTTGCAATCCCAGGAAGAGAAGGGGATTTCGGATGTGTCTTTTTATTTAGGCAAAAATTATTGAGTAAAATCACAAAGCCCGTAAGGGTGCTCAGACAATGGGCAGCACCTGAGGGTGAATTTCTACATCTAATTAAGGGAAAAAAGCTTCTTAGAAAATTTCTCCCTCCACTGCCCTTGAAGGGTGTGTGTGTGTGTGTGTGTGTAATAGAAATCTTTAGCTTTTTCTCTGTAAACACAACTTTGATGTCTTTTTAAGGTTGTTAGAAGACAGAATCTGCTTAGTCAAATTGCCTTGTATGAGCACATCAGCAGGTAGTGAGCAGAAAACAGTGAATCTGTGCTGTGCAAAAGTGCCGTGTGCCCCTGGGAAGATAGCCAGCAAACTCTCTAGTAGTAGGGGGTTAGGGATGGAAAAAACGTGTTTAATATTCTTCCAGAAGTTATTTGTTGCCTGCACTGTGTTGTCACCCAGCTCCAGACGTAAATAAAAGTCCCTACTAAGATGGCCTAGCGCCAGGAGAGCCTCAGGGGAGTGTAGGGGTCGAGTTTGCCAGATAGCATCTAAAAGCGGCAAGGAGTAAAGTCAGCAATGCCTGGGAGAAACCGCAGCGATCAGGAGGCAGGCTGGCTTCCCATTACAGGAAGTTTTGTTTAAATGTTAAAGGATGTGGTGGCCCCAGACGTCCAGTTGACGTTTGGTGACATAAGTGGCAGCGCATTCCTCAGGTCTTTCTGACCTGCTTGTCCTCAGGCAGACCTGGGCATGCCCCCAGGCACAGCGTGCTCAGGAAGAAGCATCTGGAGAATGAATATGAAGCCTGCTGCCCTCCTTTGGTTAGCCCAGAACTGGGCTGCTCTTGTCCTGTCCTCAGGCAATGAACCTTTCCGTGTTTCCCAACCTGATAGGCTTTTTTATACAGCCCTATGTTTTAACATTCAGGATGCTTGGAAAAGGCTTTTCTCCCTTCTTCTGTCTGCCCATCATTTAGATATCATTCAAGATCACACAGTTACTAAGTTACGGGACTTTGATGTGAACTTGGACCTGACAGGGAAGCAGACTTCCTTTACCTGGGTTTGGAGTCTGCAGCACCTGCAGCCATCCACGAGGCGTCCAGGTGTGTCAGGAGCCCTTCCTTGAGTGGTGGTATCACCCACCCTCCAGGCCCAGGTGGCACGCAGACAAGGCCCACAGCTCCTTTAAGACTGACATGAAGATGGCTGCCTATTTTCTGTGCTGGTTCTGTGCTGTGGTGTGTAGCTGTTCTTTAATTCTCTTTAGGCTTATAAGCTAAAATAAGCCTTTACTTCTTTTAAGCTGATTATCTTAGGTATTTTGTCATAGTGATGGAAATCCATCCTAATTATTCTAACCTCATTATACCTCAGCTTTTCTTATATGAAATGAAGATCATGATAGCATATCTTTGTTCTAGGGATGTTGAACGGTTAAATGAAATAGTCTAGACATTTTCTTTGGGAGTCTGAGAGACAGCTGCACATAACAGAAGCAAAGCCAAGCTGGAACCATGCAATTCAAATGTGGTGTCTTCTCTTGAAGGATTAGGACAGGCTTTTGTGGACGTAAAGAGCATTTTGTCTCTCTCCTCCTTGCACAGAAATGTAATTTCCTCCCATGATTTCTGGGCAGAGAGTTAGCATTCCAACAAGATGTGGTTTAATTGATTGCAGCCATTAAATCCCTTGGCTTATATGCATTTGGTTCAGCACATAAGATGCATGGAATTTTAAATTTAATCATCTGCTTTTCTGTGTATAGGAAACTTAACAAAGACACTGGGGAAGTGAAGAGTGAGGGGGCCAGGCTGGGTTTGCACACGAAGACTCTAGGGTGGAGGTAAAAGCAGGAGACCTCATCAGTCTGTATTTTAGTGCACTGAAGTTTCAGATCTCTACTCTGCCTTCCAAATTGGTGAGTATTGCTTGTAGGGAGTCCAGCTGTCCCAGAGGAGGGAAGCCAGTTGCCACGCACTCCTACTCAGTGGTGATCTTTCTCATGATTAGCGTTTGATGATGCCACTGTATTCTACCCAGGCCATCGGAACTGCTTAGTGGCCAGTTTAATGGTAAGAGTCTCTGAGAATTTTTTTTTTTTCTTTAGATGATGAGTATTTGAGAGCAAGGCCAGGATATTAGCATAACCTCCTCCAGCACAATGTTTTTATTTCCTGGCAAATCTTTAGGTAATACTGTTTTAAATTAAAGGAAAAAAGAAAACTTTAGCATCAGGCCATCCCTAGAACCTATGATGGCTTGGACAAAGTGGCAAATCTGCCCTGATCAGTACATGTAAAGTGTAAATATGCAGGGAGAAGAGAACCCTAACATGTTTGAGAGGAAAAATCAGATCCTCAGAGCTTCAAAAAACTGATAAGGAACATTTATTTATTTATTTAGCGGAACCAGGGATTGAACTCAGGCCCTTGTGCTTGCCAGGGAAGCACTTACTCCACTGAGCCATCTCCCTGGCCCCGGAACATTCATGTTTGCATCTCAAATTTTATCTTTGTGGGAAGAGATCATCCCGTCTTTGCTCGTTGCTTTAGCCCTGTGCCTGTTCATTCTTGGCCAGGACAGGATCAATACCTTCACCTCCTGCTGCTTGATGTGCAGTGGGGTTAAGGCCCTGCTTGCCTGGGGACTAAGTGACCCAGTAGTCAAGCCAGCCCTTTGTACTGCTCTGCTATTCTATGCAAGCATCAGGCTGCACCCTGCTCTGGCTACTTACCTCACTCTCTTCAACAGGGGGTGGAGGGACTTCCTTGATGATCTGAAAAGGAAAAAGGAAACAAATGTCAGTGTACTCAGGACACAGGCTTTCTAAAAGACCTGCCTTTAGCAGTTGCCCTGCGCAAGGCACACTTGATCAGCACCATGATCTGTCCGGACAGAGCATCAGTTAGTTTGAGCATGATCCAGCCTGTAGGATCCTTTCTCACTGTTGTAGTTTTGTATAGAAAACCTCTTTGATGGGTAACATTTTCATCTCTTATTCCAGGTAGTTATTTTGCAAATGTATCCACTCACACATGTATTCACCCAGTCATTCATGCATCCAAATCTCTCACCCCTCTATCGAGCCATCCAACCATTTACACATCTAGGATGGGATGTTTGCATAGTGGAAGTTCAGAAGGCACTAAAGGGAGGAGCTAGGTACAGGCCATGTTTAGGGAACTGGAAGTCCTTAATCCATAGTGGAGCCCATGGACAGAGGACATGATGGTGAGGTAGACTGAGTCTTAACAGAAGGCAGAAGAGGATGTATCCCTAAGGATATTTGTCGTGGCACTGGCATTTAGGGGCTCAGAGATTTAAATAACCTTATGATTAGATTGCAGCTGTTTCATCTTAAGGGCTGAACAGAAACATAGACATTGTGGGTAGGCAAGTAACTGAGATCCCCTTGTAATCCATGAGAGAATAGATGACTTAAAGGAGGACAGGAAAGGAGGTTGGATAGGTGGCCAACTCTTTTTGCCAACCTTTATACCACTCATGAAATGAAAGCCTTTGAAGTTAGTTGTATTTATGGTGTCTTATGTGGCAGCCTGGCCACTATCTTCTTTGATTCACTACATCCCAAGGAATTTTCCTACCTTTACTGAGAGATCATCAGAATTTTGGCCCCTCGTGTGCTGTGTTTTTCTTTAGAACTTCTGCAGGCTCATCCCATATTTCTGGAGCTCTCAGTTTCATGGATGGTTACTTCTACATGGGCATTCAGGCATTCTCCTTGGACAGACAGCCAAGCTGCCTGTCTTGCATTAAGCTCCTCCTCATCTTTTCTTACTAAGCACATGGATCCTTTGATTTGATAATCCTGAGGCTCACTAGAGTTCTACCGTCCATGGTTGCCACCTACCCTACTATTGTCTACAATGTATCTCTGCGTGAGATAGGTTACCAGTCTCAGCCAGTGGACTAAGGCTGTGGACATCTGAAAGGATGGTATGCAATTAATTGGAGAGGCAGAGATAAAGGCCCCTAGAGGTTTTGAACTACCATTTCATCTGCCTCCACTTCCTGCTGCTGTGGGAAGCCACGATTTTGCTCACCCACTCAATCTTGCCTCAGAATTTCTTCAGAAAATCTCAAGAGATGCTCAGTATTGATTTTCCACCATCCTACAGGCAGTAAATTATTTTAAAGCAGGAAATGCCTGGAAGTGGAAGGGAAGGATGAGGAACAAAGGGACAGAAATTGAAAATGAAGGAAAGGGAGCTGGAGGGAGAGTACAACAGGAACACGAACAGAGGCCCACCAGGGTGTGGTGGGCAGTGTGTACAGCAAGGTCCCTGGCTAGGAAGAGGTTTGGGTTGGAGCAGCCATGCTGTCTTTGTGGTGCTGCTAGCTACTTTCCCCTGCACATCTGTCCTATGTGAACCCCAGATCTACCTCCCCTGACTGTCAGGATTTCAGAGGTCTCTTAGGCTCCCTGAACTCCACTGTCATCTAAGCTGAGTAAGAACATGGACCTCACAGGAACAGAGCTATGACAAGCAACCAAGTGTGACACGGGCCTGGCAGAGAAGAGGTGCTCTATGGGTGGTGCATGTTATTAGCACTCCCCTTTCCATTTTGTCTGTCTCTTGCCTTTATCCCATCTTTTGGAGTTTCATAAAATAAGTGAGACAAGAGAGTGGTCCAGAGAGTGGCCTAATAGTGACTAGAGGTTTCAGGGAAGTCAATAGCCACATGACATTGTTAGCACATGACATCAGCCAGGAAATGTAGCACCAAGTGGCCCAGCATTCTGAACAACCCAGCTGTGACTTTCCTGCATGATTTAGTCTGTTAAGTATTTATGAGTTTGTTAGGTACTTACTGAGGATCTACTTTATATCCTGCAATGCGCAAATTGTAAGGGCATCTTGAAAGATGATGCAAAAATATGTGACTGATGGAATATTAATCAAAGAGGGACTAATTTACAATCCAAGTTCTTCATGGACACAGTGGAAACATCTCAACTTTTGAAAAAAATACCACTGTGTTCAAACAGAAATTAGACCCCTCCAAACTGGCTTCACTGGTTGGGTATCCCAGCTTCAGTCAGCAGGAATAAAGAAGCTTCCTCACTGCTTTAAGCCCAGGCACCACTACCTTGCCCTGGGGACAGGAAGCCGCTCATCTATAGGATGATAGGACATCTTTAAAGCTGTGCCCCAGACAAACTGGAAGCCATGAAAGGATTGTCCCAAGCAGTGAATTTCTTGTATGTAGGTCACCCAAAGGAATGCTCTGAGTACAGGGTCATGCCACTTGATTCACTGTTTCAATGTTTCACCATCAGGAGGTCCACAGCCCATGTACCCTAAAGAGCTGTTTGGGGGGTGCAAGCCTGCAGCACTTCTGCAGCTGCATGTTCAACCGCACCCCTGCAGGTTCCCCTTAACACCTGCTGGTCACACCCATGGCCATGGCCCGTAAACACAGCTCCCCTCAGGAATCATATAGAACTGGCAAGGTCCCCTCCTTGGGCTCTCAGTTATGATTTTTTCTTAATCATTATTAAAAATTAACTGGATACCTGTTTCCAAACAACCTGACCAGAAAGTTGTCATTCCCAACTAGACTGAAAGCTGGCCTCAGCTTCCAAGCTCTGGCTGGGTTTGGCCTACTTTCTTTCTTGGTACATTACAGGAGGCTCCTCTTGGTTATAGGTGGGCTCTTCAGCTCCTTCCTTGTCAGGATGGATGCAGAGAAAATGGATAAAGTTAAAAAGATACAAAATACTTAGAAGGAAAATATCACCACAAATGTGTTTATAAGTATAACAGAGTAGAACCGAATGGGAATATTGACACAGCTAACCCAGTGACCCCATTTGCTACCACTATCTTTAGACAGGGGGTGGTGTTGTCAGGAAGTGACTATTTCCCTCCTAGGGGTTGCTGCTCAGGGAGCCAATTTTGGGACTTGAGCCCCTTAGCACATATTGGACTGATGATGTAAAGAGGGCAAGAAAAAGCACAATGGATGAAACTTTTGAATTCTATGGGTGTTGCTTTGCTACCTGAGAACTTCTTGAAACTACTGTGAGCTGGGAGATGTCTCCTCACACCTTTTATCAGTGCCTTTAACTCTGATTTATCCATCTACGTTTAGGAAGACACAACAAAGGGTCCAACGTAACAAGACTGCTGTGTTGACCAGGAAAGGCTGGTAGAATCTTATGCTATTGAATCATTCCTTCTTGGGTTGTAATGGATTCAGACCTATGTACGTGGCTATTGAAAGTGGCAGTGGTGAAGATGTGGAGATACAGCATGGTGTGGACAGAGCAGAAAGTTCACAAAAGCCAACCCTGGTGACACTTGACAAGTTCAACCACGGTGGTTTGTGAAGCAAGTTTAACCCCTGGGTCTCTATAAAGCTTTCTTGAATTTATTTTATAAATTAGAAAGATGAAGTAAAGCCCCTGGTAAGTTTATTTTGCTTAAGTTTTTTTTCCTCAAGAAATATTGAACTTTTGGCCCTGGCTGCTGTGTTTGCCCTGACAAACTCTTTGTTATGGTCTCTTACAATGGAATGCAAATGCAGTCTATCAACAGCCACACTGGCTCATGGGCCAGCCCACTTATAGTTGAGGGTCAGGCCAAGCTGCTAGATAAGGGGCAGGAGGATGCAGGCCAGGGTCTTCCCCCAGGCCCTCCTGCTTTGTCTGTTTCACCTTATTGAGAAATCCTCCAGCATGATCTCACAGTTCTTCTCCTCTTCTTACCTGCCTCCTCCCTCAGTGACAAGAATTGGTTATACACTAAGCGGGATAAGCTCCTGTAGACAGTTATTCATCTAATGGTATTAAAAGTGGAACTAAACAGAGCTCTTTTCTTGTTCAGTTTTAGTGTTCAAGTATCTTTTGTTTGCTTGCTTGAGACAAGGTTTTGCTACGTTGTCCAGGCTGGCCTTGAACTTGGGGTAATTCTCCTGCCTCAGCCTCCCAAGTGCTGGGATTACAGGCATGTGCCACCATGCCCAGCTTTCAGTATCACTTTTGGGTGAGCTATATTCAGGGAATCTCTTCTAAATTTTATACCAATGCCTCAACTCTCGCTACAAAGGAGTCACTTCCCTGGCACACAGTGGAGCACTGGCTGTCCAGAAGAAAAGCTTAAGACAACTACAACACTAATAAAACCAGACACTTTCCCTCATTCTAATTATCTCAGTGGTTTCAAGCTTCTCAAGCATCAGAGTCACCCAAAAGATTTCTTCAAGCCTAGATTTCTGGGCTATATACCCAGGTTGCTCATTAGCAAGTCTGAGTCACTTGAACACTTGAGCTTCTAACCAGTTCCCAAACAAGCTGACCCTGCCGGTCGGTTCTCTTTTTGAGAACCTTGAAATTGGCTTATTACTAACAGCTCTACATGCCAGTTAGATACCTAGGAGAGATATGTTTTGCTTCAGGTCAGACATTCCGATGGCTGGCCTGCTGTGTGTTACTTATAGCAGGGTAGAAACAACAACTTTCTTTCATTCTAGTAGCAATGGTGTCTAGCTCTGTTGCCTAGAATGCTGGGTTCCCCAGGGCCACCTCTGTCCCATGGCAGGGGAGGGATATAGTGTGGTGGATGAGACTCAGCTCTGCTCACAGGCACTGTCTAGGGCTCATGGCAATCAGAGCCCACCCACCAGGTGGCCCTCTGGGAACTAGGGGCACGAATCCAACTTTCTGCTGCCCGCAGTACTGGCAGTGAACTTACTGAGCAGTGTTTGCCCGCAGCAGACATAGGTATAATGGGTTAGCTTTTACCTCTGCAA